CCCCAAAACCCCAAAACCCCAAAACCCCTTGAAACAGATAACATGGTTATTATTAGAGAGGACGAAATTAATAGAAAGTTAATTCATTTGAAAATTGTGCCCCTGATGGATGCTACTTTATTACTTTGAAGATACTCTTCATGCACCACTGGTTTTTTTAGACCTGAAGATTTCTTGTTGTTATTTGAGATGTTTGACAGTCGTGAGTGTGATGAATGCCTTGATGAATTTCTATCCATTGAGCTCTTCCTCCTAAAGGATAAATGTTTAAATCTCTAAAATAAGCTTACAATGGGCTATCTTCTAGCTACTAAAGAGTAGAGAAATTATAGATTTTAGGCTAATATAAATTAGACTTTATACTTGATGTAGCATTAAACAATAAACTGCCTCCAATTTTTTATTGATTAGCAAGGACATTTACACCAGCAGCACCACTATTATTGCCTAAGCTCTACCTAGCTTTCTGATTCTTTATTATATCATTTACTTTGTTTATATTTGCATTCTTAACAGAGTGAACTGCATTCACCTCATATGGATTCTACTGAATATTTCTTGAAACTTTAGTTTGCAAGACAGGCTAAAATTGATTACGCTGGTTACTCTATCGACCTCGCTTTTAGCTGCCACTACTATTATTATTCATGACTTACTATTGCTCCAGAGAGTCTTAAAGTTTCTCAGCTCTTTTGTTGCTGAGCGCTGAGCCATTATCTCTTTAATACCTATCGTTGATTATTCCAGTCTTTGATTATTTAATGGTGAATTAATTAGAGTAGGTCTTACATTCAGAGTTTTAAAGGGAAAGATCATCGTATTCATGCTTTGATTCTTCTATTGATAAATGGTCTAGACTTATCTTTTTCAGATTATCATATCTATGATTCTAAGAGCCCTCTTTTAAGATCTTGTTTTAATGAAAGTATGAATTATTGTTATTGCTGTGATTAGCTGTAACTGTGCTGTGATAGTTATTTGTTCCACTACCGCCTGCGCTATGTTTACTGTCTTTAGATGAAAGTCTAGAAATTATCTTGTTTCTAAGTTGGTTAGTCGGGCTATCATTATCAGGGTTCTTATAGTTACTTGTTTTATTATAGCTACTATTACTATGCTCTCTAAATCTATAAGTGTTACCGCCAGGCTAACCGAATTTTTTCTATAGCATTATTGAATCTAATTCTTATTACTCTAAGGACACTAACTTTTTCTTAAGACTAGATCTAATTACTCCTAATTATCTATCCTTAGTAGTTTGGTTTTTACTGTTTTAAGGATTTTTATTATTGATATTAGCGTTTATATTTTATTGCTTTAATGATTGATTCAGGCTTGCTGTATTTTTTTGACTTGATATACTCAGGTTTGCATAGTTTTAGGACTATTTAGCCTAAGAACTATCTCTATCATACATCGCTGCTTTAATTAATCTATCTCTTACTGGCTAAGCATATTCTTTATAATTAGGTGATTTAGTACTAGTTAGCCTGAATGGCGATTAACTTATACTACTCTTAATTGATATGGGCTTAGAAAATGATTACTGTGATTAATTATCCCTAGATCTAGCTCTTGTAATGGAACTGTTTTCATTTTACTTTGATCTAAGAATAGGTTTAAATGGTCTTTACTGCTCAATAAATTGTATAGTTGGCTTATTAGTAATGTTATTCCCAGTTGGCTCATCCTCATCTACATCATTAAATTCATTTATCTCATCTTCTTCTAAATCCCATGACTTGTCTGATATCTATTCTTCTTGCTTTCCCTACAGACCAAACTAGAATTGATTGCTCATTAGATGATTAGCAAAGGTCAGGTCATTTTCATTAATAGTTGATACTGGTCTGGGAGAATAATGAGGAGAAGACTTGAAACTATTAAGTGAGTTGTAAAAGTTGTTTTTTCCAGAAGTTGAGAAGAAATTATTCAAAAGATCTAGATTCTGTAATAATGGTATCCCTTATTCAACTGAGGTTATTGTTCCATCCTGTGAGATTGATGATGCTTGACTAGATCTAAGATTGTTAGGAGCATTAAAACTTTGCAATGAAGCAATCAAGTAATCATTTGCTGAGTTTGAGCTGCTGGTCAAGGGATTAATATTATTCAAGTTATTATTTTGATTATTCATAATCAAATTCATCATTTGATAGTTTGTGTTTGGATTAGGATTTTGAATATTGCTAGGATGAAATTAAGGCTGGTTATTTGAGTGAAAATTCGGGCTCAACAGGGTAAGTGGTCTTTGACCTAAAGGCGAACCTGATTATTTTAATCTAGTTAAATCTGTTTGAATCTAGTTTTAGGGCAATTATTAAAGTTATCCTTATGACTGCATTTATTGAACTTAAACTCTTTTCAACAACTCCAAGCAATATTAATCAAATAAGTGTTTTTGCTACTGCTCAGTTAGCTTTTACTTTTTGCTGCTTTATTATGTTTCCCTTACTTATTGATTGAATGTTGGTGACTAATGTCTTATATTTGTATCCAAATTTTTCTTTGGTGGATTCTAATTTAGAGTTCTCTTTATGCTTGGCTACATCTTATTAGAGACATAAACCTGCTTATTTAACAAAGTACTATTTTTATTCTGAGTTGATAGTGGATGGTGAATGATTGTGGGTGATATTGGCATTTGCATGCTACCTCCACTTGTACTTGTGAACAGTTAGAGATTATGTGCTGCTCCGAAGCTTCTATAGTCAGATGATTGCATTGTAGACGATGATGGTGGTACCCCTTCTCCTATCATTAAAAAAATTCAATTTTTAATTATTAATTTCTGCTATTATCATATTTCTGAGCATCGGGGTTTTGGGGTTTTGGGGTTTTGGGG